CTCCGCTCGCTGGGCCCGCCCCTCTCACCCTCCCCACCTCCTTTCCCCTAGGCCGCGCCCCTCCCGGCTCCGCCCTATCCGTGACTCGGGTCCACAACCTGAGGTTCCACCCCCTCGCCGTTTATGCCCCGCCCTTCCGTGAGCCTTCTTACCCTACTGTTAGGGACCCCAGACGGAGTTAGGCTGCTGAGGAGTGCCTGAAGCTACGTCATGCGAAACTCCCCATTCTTCTAGATCCTAAAGTGATCAAGACGATTTAAATCCTCCACCTCGGAAGAAGCTTTCCTCTCATTTAACGTCTTTCGGCTTAGCTAACCTTTCTAACACCGCTGACCGTGCCGGTATCTTCGCGGCTGTTAGTCAGGCAACCTATTGGGCACTCCAAGCGCGGGGTCCTCACGGCCTTCGCCTCTGCCTCAGCTTCGGTCTAGAGAGGACCCGGCGCCGAATCCCTGACTCGCCCAGCTGTCGGGGTGAGTGTGAGGGGCGGGGAATCTACGGACTGAGGACAGCTCAAAAACTGGGGAGTAGGCTGATAGCTGGCACTCCGGACTCCATCCTGGGCTCTGGAGCGGTTCTGATGTTGTGGGCCGGGGCTGCGCCTCCTCCTTAGCCCGGCCTTCCGGGCTTTCTTGCAGAATGGGCCGGAAGGGAGCCGTGCACCTGCCCCCAGGGTTCTGAAATCCTTGCTCCAGGAGGTCAAGCTCTCTGAAGTCCCTCTTTGTGCTTCGGCGCAGGAAAGAGGTCTTGTCGCCCTCAGTGAGCAGGAGTACTGATGACTTAATTCTCAGCCCTTAGAGCTTCCGCCTTGGAGGACAAAGCCCCTGATGGGTCTGAGCTGACGTCCCGTTAGAGGATGGTTCTTGTCTGAGCCTGGGCTGGGGAATACAGTGAGGAGGGTGTTACAGTTGTGCAGAAGAAAGGTGACGGAGATCTGAACTGAAGAGATGGCAGTCAGTGAGTATGGAAAAGCGATGAGATTTGTGGAGGATTGTGATGGATTTGTCTGGAGCTGAAGCTTCCAGCATGCATGGTTGAAAAGGTGTTGCCACTTTAAAATTAGGAGCTGTCACGGGAACTGGAAGTTTTCTCGATTTATCGAATTTGAAACGGTGGTTTAGGTGGAGATAGATTTTAAAAAATAAAATCGGCCAGGTAAGCCAGAGGAACTGAAGATAATCTTTCTAAAAATGTAAATTGGATTGCATCCTTCCCCCTAAATGACTTTAGCAGACCTGCAACCCCAGCTATATAGGAGACTGAGGCAGATTTATGTGTTTGAGGCCAAAATGGGCAAGATCCTATCTCAAGATAAAAAGGACTAGTATGTAACTCAGTACTTCATGAGTTACATGCCCAGTACAGAGGGAGGAAGAAAAGACTTTATAATGTATTGAAAACAAAATCCAAACTCTATTAAATGTTAGCAGTGCCCAATAAAGCAATTTCGGCTTACCTCCTGATTTACTCTCATCACATTCCTCCACCTTCTAAAATTGCTAAATTTATACTAGATTTCTCTGTCTTGTGTTCTTTCTCACCTCCAAATCTTACAGGTTCTATAACACACTGTATGTTTTGTCATAATAGGAATTACATTTTACTGCATTGTCTGTCTTTTCTCCTGAACTGTTAAGTACTATGAGTATAGGAATTCTATTGCATTCATTGTTGTATCCTCGAGTGCCCGGTATATAAAACATATTCAGAACTATTTGTTGAATGAGTGAATGGTCGGGTTTCTGGTTGAGAATTAGAAACTAGATTCCTTTCTCATTTCCTGATGAAAAATATGGTGAATGTTTAAAAATTTTTAAATCTGTTGCAGTAAAAGGCATTGCCATTAATAACTCCCTCACTTTTTACACACTTATCTATTTTTCAAGTTCTTGCCACTTTCTGAAGCAGTCCTTCAAGTTCTCTTTCCTGAGGGTCTTTAGTTCCTCTATCATGGCAGCCTCGGTGTCCTGAATTGATTCCAGACATTGACCTTTTGTGGTCGTTTTTATTTTGGGAAGGAGCCAGAAGTCACTTGGTGCCAGATCCAGTGAATAAGGTGGGGATGAAGACACAATTTAATGTCTGCCTTAATGATGGATGGCACTTTGTAGCAACATTCACTGTATTTTATCACACTTGATAAAGACATGAAAAGAAGACTTCCAAAACTGCTTCAGAAAGTGGCGAGAGTGACGGCATAAGAGTGTTTAAAGCAAGGGGGAGTATTTTGAGCATTAATGGCAATGTATCTATTACTATAACAGACTTTTTAAAAATTTAAATACATTGCATTTGTTGATTAGCTCTCATATACCCCCATTCTGTGCCCTTTAGTCCTTACTTCTTGGAGGCTGAGGCAGAAGGATGGCTTGAGCCCCCAGAAGTTCAAAACCAATGTGAGCAGCGTAGTAATACCCAGTCTCAAAAAAAGGAACACATTTTCTGTTTAGACACATTTTCCAAGGATATTTTGAGTATTGTAACTGCATTACTTATAAAACATCAGGATGAGTGCACAATATTTAATAGAGGATTCACAAAGTACTTAAGCTACAGTCAAAGCACTAGTGAGACTGTCTTTAACACAATTCTTTGTGACTCAGAAGGTGCTAGGAACAACCAAAAAAAAAAAAGGTAGGAGTAGCAGTGCATGGCTTTCTCAGAAAGTTTATTAAAATAATGAAAAAAATACAGCTTTTGAAAGCGTGATAAAAAGCTAAAGAAACAAGGCAGTTTACACTGTTTTGTGTGATACTATTTCATTATATCTTAGGGGACTGGTCATCATACAGATAAACAAAATAAACTTTTTCCTATTATAGAGAGTTAAGATAGGTTTTAAAGCTAAGCACCAGAGCTGCGAGTGTTATACTTTGATCTAAGCACTAAAGATAACAACAATAAATCCAGTGGGCTGGTTTAACTTACTGTATTCTTCTGAAATCTGAACGGTTGCCAATAAAAACAACATTGATGGAAACTTTCCTGGAGGGAGTTTTTCACCAGTTTAAAAGGATGAATAGAGATCTGGCCCTAAAATAAGGAAACTACAAAGTCACTTTCAAAAATAAGCAGCTCTCCACCTGCTGTAGTGGCACACGACTGTAATCCCAGCATTCTGGATGACTTAGGTAGGAGGATCACAAGTTCTAGTCCTAGCCTGGGCAATTTAGCAATTTAGCAAGACCCTGTCTCAAAATTTAAAAAGACAGAATGTAGTTGAGTGTGAGGACCCTGGATTCAATCATCAGTACCAGAAAAACAAATATAAGCTGAAACAGCACATTCATTGCCCAGTGAATTAGTGCTAACCACTAATATGTAGTTACATATTAGATTTAAATTAGTTAAAACTTCAGCCAGCGATGGCAGCACACACTTGTAACCCCACCACTTAGGAGGCAGAGGCAGTAGAATCACTGGGTGTTCAGGGACAGCCTGGACCACATAGCAAGACCTTACCTCAAGAGGCCAAAAAAAGAAAAAGAAAAAACTTTAGTACATTAGTTGCAAAAGATACCATATTCCATTAGCTCACTCACCTGAAGAGCTCAAAGCCTGGTCCATGTTTTATATTTCAGATGCACATTGTATTGCAAGAAAAAGGGGTAATAATAAAAATTCAGTTACAGATCTTTTATCACTGGATAGTCCTATTTCATTAAGAAAGTGAAAATTTTATCAGATGAAGTTATAAAGTTAACAGGTTCTTATAGCAATCCTATATATTCCAATGTCACTTACTATAGTAATACTCAAATAGAAATGTAAGATTACACACACACACACACACACACACACACACACACACACCTACTAAGCGTCGCATCTGACTAGATGAAGTAGAAAACTTAGGCAGGTCCCAAGTCTGAAGTGTCAGATTTATTGCTATTTATTGTTGATGGTTTGGCTTATAGAGATGGCTTAAGCAGAAAAACATTTTTTGTTTCTAATAAACAAGAACCCTAATAGCACTCACAGTTTATTAATACAGTGGTTATTAAAACATATTTTAGTATTACTTGGTAACTACTGAACATTTAACACATGAGAAGGGGAAACAATCACCAGATATTTTTAATTGACATCTACTTTCATAAAATAAATAATTTCCTCAGGGAATAATTGTCAAGTTGATGTCTTTGCTACTATCTTAAAAGAATTGAATGGATCAACTTTGGAAATTCTTCCTATTTGGAATTTATCTTCTCATAGAAACTGTATTCATTGGTTTTTAAATTCCTTCTCCTTTGCCTGCTTTTATCATACAGTGCTCTTACTTTGGACCACTAAACCAAACACCTGCCTATATAAAGATGAAACAAATTAAGGCAGTTAAACATTTTTTCACTAGTCCCCATATCACCTAGATAATCAACTTTTTATTTGAAACATAACTAACTCTTAGAAAAGCCCAATGAATTACCACAATGAATTATTAAAAAGCCCAATGAATTACCACAAAATGGACACAGCTTGTAAACATCATAGAGATGAGGACTAAGTTACCAATACTTTAGAAGACCATGTTCTTTTATTACTATCCTCTTGTGTTTTTCTTTGTAGTACTGTGGATTGAACCCAGGGCGTTCACATGGAACTACTTCCCATCCTCTTGTTTTTTATTTTTTTATTTTGAGACAGGATCTTACTAGTCATAAAAGAAGCCATGTGAAGGCTGGGGATTTAGCTCAGTGGTTCTGCCGCCTTCCTCACAAGCGTAAGAACCTGAGGTCAATCCCCAGTTACCAAAAAAAATAAAATAAAAAGAACGTGATGTTTTTAATCTCATAGATTGATTTTACCTGACCTAGGACATCATATAAATGGAGTTATAGTGTACTCTTGCATTTGCTTTTGTTTCTTCAGCACCATGTTTGTAATATTCTTCTGCATTTGTTTCATGTAGCAATGTTTATTTTAATAGCTGTATAATATTTCATTTTATGCTGTAGTTTTTTCATTATACAATTAATATTTGAGTTATTGCCAATTTTCACTATTATAGTTATATTTTTATACATATTTTTGCTGCACAGTAGTACACATTTCTGTTTTTCTATGTGGGAATGGATTTGTGCCACAAGATATTAAGAATACTTTTTAAAATTGAGATATAATTAACATACCTTTAATTCATAATTTTAAAGTATACAGTTTAGTTGTTTTTAGCATAGTCACAAAGTTATGCAGCCATCATCTCTAATTCTAGGACGTTTTTATCGCCTCAAAAAGAAATGCCAGATGCATTGCCAGTAACTCCCCATTTCTTCCCCACTGCTGCACCTGGTAGCCACTAATCTACCTTCTGTCTCTATAGATTTACCTGTTCTGGAAAGTTCATATAAGATAGGACTTTTGTGTTTAGATGCTTTCACAGGTTATAGGTATGGTAGCCTCTGTAAGTGCTTGGTTCTTTCTTATGGCTAAATACTATTCCATTGTGTGGATAGTCTGTAGTTTGTTTCCATTCACTAGTTGATGCGCATTTTCATCATTTCACCTTTTTTGCTGTTATGAATAATGCTACTAGGAACATTCATGTACAAGTTTAACAGTGTCTGAGCATTCTAGCTTCTCTCCATTTCATCAACATTTGTTAATGTCTACCTTTATTATAACTAACCTTGTGGGTATGGAATATTATTTAGACTTCTTTTTTTTTTGAGACATAGTCTCTCTATGTAGTTCAGGCTAGTGTTGAACTCACTATGTAGCCCAGGCTGGCCTCCAGCTTGCAGTGATCCACTTGTGTCAGCCCCCTGGATGCTAGAATTACAGGCTTGTGCCACCATGCCCTGCCTCATTTAGATTTTTTATTTATATTTTCCCAGTGACTTTTTGAGAATCTTTTTAGCCTGTTGTATGCATATATTCTTTGGAAAAATATCTTAGCAGATGCACATCAGTTGCTCAGTTTTGAATAGGGTTATCTCTAATATGGAATGGTGGGAGTTGTTTATATATTTTGGGTAGTAGTCTCTCATAAGGCATAAGGTTTCAGGGCTGGAAATTTAGTTGCGCCCGTGCCTTCCTCAAAAGCACAAGATCCTGAGTTCAATCCCCACTAGGGAGGGGAGGCAACGACATACAGTTTCAAATACTTTTTCATATTCTTTGGGCTGTCTTTTCACATTCTTGATAATTTCCTTTGAAACACAAAAGTTTTAATGGGGGGGCGGTTGAGACAGTGTCTCACTATGTAGTTGAGACTGACATGGAGCTCACTATGTATCCCAGGCTGGTCTCAAACGCACAGCGATCCTCCTGCCTCAGCCTCCCAAACAAAAGTTTTAATTTTGATGAAGTAACTCGGGTTCTTTCTTTATTTCTTTTTCTTCCTTTCTTTCCTTCTTTCTTTCCTTCTTCCTTTCTTTCTTCCTTTCTTTCCTTCTTTCTTCCTTTCTTTCCTTCCTTCTTTCTGGGGATTGAACTCGGGTCCTTGCGTTTGCAAGGCAGACCACCAAACTGCTGAGCTAAATCCCTGGCCCCCTACCCCTTTTTTAAATTTTGTTTTTTGTGGGGAAGTGGGAAGGGTAGGGGAAAGGTAAGAATGGAAAATAAAAAAGAGAAAAGGAAAAAAATGGAAACAAAGTCTTTGTAAATAGGGAAGGGAGGCCAGGGGAATGGGGAAAAAAGAAGAACCAAGATACATCGTGTAAAGGTACAAGATCCCAATGATGGCCGGGTGTGCTGGCTCACATCTATAATCCCAGCACTCGGGGAAGTGGGAAGGGTAGGGGAAAGGTAAGAATGGAAAATAAAAAAGAGAAAAGGAAAAAAATGGAAACAAAGTCTTTGTAAATAGGGAAGGGAGGCCAGGGGAATGGGGAAAAAAGAAGAACCAAGATACATCGTGTAAAGGTACAAGATCCCAATGATGGCCGGGTGTGCTGGCTCACATCTATAATCCCAGCACTCGGGAGGCTGAGGCAGGTGGATCACTGTGAGTTCGAGACCAGCCTGGGCTATATAGTGAGTTCCAGGTCAGTCTCAACTACATAGTAAGATTATGTTTCAAAAAAACAAAACAAGAGCCAGGCGTGGTGGCACACACCTGTAATCCCAGCACTCGGGAGGCTGAGGCAGGAGAATAGCTGTGAGTTCGAGACCAGCCTGGGCTACGTAGTGAGTTCCATCCAGATCAGTCTCAACTACATAGTGAGACCCTGTCTCAAAAAACCAAAAAAAAAAAACACAAAAAGCAAGATCCCAATGATGAATGTAACTGTACTGTATACCTAAAATGTACCAATAAAGAAAAAAAATTTATTTTGAGATAAACTGAGTTCAATTTGGGATCCGCTTGCCTCAGCGTCCCAGAATGTTGGGATTACAAGCATGTGTCACACTTATTTTTTTGCTTTTTCTTGCTTGTGCTTTTGGAGTCATGTTTTTATAAAACATTGTCTAACACAGGTAATAAAGATCATTTTTTTTCCTAAGTTTTATAGGTTTAGCCCTTATATTTAGGTCTTTCATATAGTTTGCTTTATTTTTTGTATAGATTATGAAGTAGAAATTACTTCCTTTTGGATGTAGAAATCTACTTATCTCAGCACTATCTCTTGAAAAGCCTATTCTCTCTCCAAGTGAATTCTCCTGACCCCCAGTGGAAAATCACTTGACTCTAAATATAAGGGGTAATTTTGGAACTCTCATTTCTGTTCTATTTATCTATAAATCCTTGTTCCAGTACGACATGGTAATTTTGCAGTAAGTTTTGAAATTTTATTATGAATCCTTCAACATTGTTTTTCATTTGTTTTAACTGTTCTTGGTCTCTTTCATTTCCATTTGAATTTTAGTATTACATTGCTGATTTCCACCCAAAAAAGTCATCAAGGATTTTAATGACTCTATTAAGTCAACTTGGGGGAGTACTGCCATTTTAATATTAAATCTTCAGATATCTTTTCTTTTTTTTTTTGATATTTTAAATTTCTTTCAAAGATTTTTTAACTTTCAATCTACAACTCTTTAAATTTAATTCCTAAGTATTTAAATCATTTTGATGCTCTTGTAAATCAAATTGTTCTCTTAATTGCATTTTGAAACTAGTACAGGTGTTTAGAAATACAATTGTCCTTTTTATATTAATCTTGTATCCTATAATTTTGCTAAACTCATTTACTAGCCCTAGTAGAGTATTTTGTTTGTAGATTCCTTAGGATTGTCTATATGCAAGATTGTATCTTGTCTTTTCCAGTGGACTCTAATGTTTCATTTTGTTACTTAACTGTCCTGGCAAGGACCTCCAGTACCATGGTGAATAAGAATGATGAAAGTAGAGGTTTTGTTATGTTTTGTCTTGTTTTGTTTGTTTTTAATGCAGACTGGGGATTGAACCAAGGGCTTCACACTTAGCTATTATCACCAGTCCATTTTTTATTTTGACACAGGTCTAAATTGCCTAGGCTGGGCTTAAATTTACAACCTTCCTGCCTCAGCCTCCCAGAGTGCTGGGATTACAAGTGTGCTACCATTCCCAGCTCCCTTATTTGTTTTTGTTTTTAGAAAGAAAAGTTTTGGCTTTCTCCATTAAAATTTATGTTAGTGGGCATGGTGGCACTCTTCTGTAATCCCAGCACTGAGGAGCTGAGGCAGAAGGATCACCCTGATTTCAAGGCCAGTCTGGGCTATGTACTGGGTTCAAGGCCATCCTGAACTATACAGTGAGACCCTGTCTCAAAAAACAAATAAATAAATAAATGATGTAAACTGTGAGATTGTCATAGATGTTCTTTATCGGTTTGAGGAGGTTTTGTTAGCCTGAGCCTTTTTTTCCCCCCATAAAAGAATGTTTGGTTTTGTGAAATGCTTTTTCTGAAACTTTTTAAATGATCATTTATTTTTAGTCTTTTATTAATAAAGTTATGTATTACATTGATTGAGTTTCCTGTGTTAAAACAACTTTGTATTTTTGGAATAAACCTTTATATGTTGCCGGATTTGTTTTGCTAGTATTTTGTCAAGGATTTTTACATCTATATTCTTGGGGTTTTTTGTTGTTGTTGTTGTTTTATTTATTTTTTTTATTTTTTGGTACCAGGGTTTGAACTCAGGACCTTGCGAGGCAGGTGGCAGAACCATTCAGCTGAATCACCAGCCCCATCATCTATATTATTGAGTGATATTGATCTGTAATTACTTGTATTGCCTTTGCCTGGGTTTTGTGTCAGTATAATATAAGGATACTTTTTGATGTATAGTAAATGTAAACCTTTTTTTTTTCTTCACAGAAAATGATTCACAGTCTATTTCTCATAAACTGTTCTGGTGACATATTTCTAGAGAAGCACTGGAAAAGTGTTGTGAGCCAGTCTGTCTGTGATTATTTCTTTGAAGCTCAGGAGAAAGCCGCTGATGTTGAAAATGTACCACCTGTCATTTCAACGCCTCACCACTACCTCATCAGTATCTACCGGGATAAGCTCTTCTTTGTGTCTGTCATACAGACGGAAGTGCCACCTCTCTTTGTAATTGAATTCCTACACCGAGTTGCTGACACTTTTCAGGTTGGTCGTCCATCAGACTTTTGTAACTCACTCAAGGTAGTTGGAGGGAGACACATGATTATTTTCTGAACCAGCTGTTAATACATTTCTCTCTCCCTTTCTAAATAAGCCTAAGTTCATAAACCTTTTTCGTATAGTATACACAGTGGCACACAAGGCCACTTTGTTCATTTTTCTTTTTAATGTCTTACAAACTGCATCATCAAGAAATAATAGTGACCTCCATATACTATTCTCTTAAGGTCCTAAGATTCTTTTTTTTTATTTGAGCTCTTCTATGTTTATATTTAATTTTTTCTTTTGTCTTACTGAATATACCATATATGTAATTTAGTCACTTACGAGTACAGTTATTTAAATATAAGATGACCAAAAATTGCATTTTTTAAATTAATTTTTATAAGATAATAGGAAATATAAAAATGATAATTTTTTTCAATGTATAAGAATCAACTGGTTGAAATGGCACCTATCCCAGTGATGCTTGGATAGTCAGTACACGAACAAACACACTGCCCAAGTGACACTGGGGTAAACTAGTGGTTAAAACTTACCCATGTGTGTTTTGGGATAGGTTAATCAAAGCAAGTGAAGTTTATAGCTTACCTTCCAGTTTAATATTTCATTACTTTCTGGCATAATATGTAGTGGGAATTCAGTTCAGTCTAAAAATAGTGGGGTTTTGTTTGTTTGTTTTGTTTCTTTCTTTCTTTCTTTTTTTTTTTTTTTTTGGTGCCGGGGATCAAACTCAGGACCTTGCACTTGCGAGGTAGGTAGCAGCACCACTGAGCTAGATCTCCGGCTTCTCAATCTAAAAATATTTTTTAAAATAGCCAGGTATGGTGGCACATGCCTACAATCCTAGCACTTAGGCTGAGGCAGAAGGATTGCTGCAAGTTTGAGGCCAGCCTGGGTTACATAGCAAGTTTAAGGCCAGCCTGAACTACATGGTGAGACCCTTTCTCAAAAAATAAGCAAAAAAGAAAATATTGAAGAATAGTGTTAGGACTATACAAGAATTTTTTTTCCCTCCTGTTTTATATATTTCTAACATATTAAGGAATGAGTTTTGCTACTGTAATTTTGTTCTTCAGAATGAAAAGTATATTACAAACCCTTCTTCATGGCCTATGTTGTACACTGTTATTAATATTGTGTTAGGACTACTTTGGTGAGTGTTCGGAGGCTGCAATTAAGGACAATGTGGTCATAGTATATGAGCTCTTAGAAGAAATGTTGGACAATGGATTTCCACTGGCTACTGAATCTAACATTTTAAAAGAATTGATTAAACCCCCAACAATTCTACGTTCTGTTGTCAACTCTATTACAGGTAAGATGAAAGCATACTTTATGCTACGAACCAAACAAAGCTTTAGAAACAGCTTATTTTTGCCTATTACATGACAGATTATTAAGGTGGTTCAGTTTGTCCCAAGTTAAAGTGACTGGTAACATTAGAATGAACACATATTTCTTTTCATTGAAAGAGGCCAGGTCTTAAATGATAAAGAACTTTTGGTTATTATTTTGTTTATAAGTTTGTCTCTAAAAGCACAATTTTGAGCCCAGCCTAGACAATTTAGTGACTTTAACAAGAAGGAAGACCCTGTGTCAAAAAAGGGCTGGGGATATAGCTCAGTGCAGGGGGCTTGGGTTTGATTTCTAGTACTGCAAAAAGAAAATTTATGCCAATTTATCCTAAAGAAAACAGTATATGAGTCTACTTGAAAGATAATTTAAGGGCTGGGGATTTAGCTCAGTGGCGCCGAACCTGCCTCACAAGTAACAAGGTCCTGAGTTTGATTCCTGGTACCAAAAAAAAAAAAAAAAAAAAAAAAAAAGATAATTTAAGCCAAGCATGGTAGTATAAGTCTGTAATCCTAGAACTTTGGGAGGCCAAGGCAGGAGAATCACAAGTGCGCATCCCACCTGAGCAACTTAGAGTATACTCTTTCTCAAAATAAAAAGGGCTAGGGATGTAAGTCAATATGAAGGATCTGCATTCCATCCCTGGTACAGAGAGAGATGTGGGGGAGACAGAGGGAGAGGGAGGGGAAGAGGGGGAGAGGGAGGGAGAGATGAGAGAGAGAGAGAGAGAGAGAGAGAGAGGGAGAGAGGGAGAGGGAGGGAGGGAGAGAGCGCGTGAGCATGTGTGAGCGCTAGCCAAAGATCCTATATATCATCTGTGTTAGAGGAGACTTTTTCGGCATAAAGGTTTTCAAACAACAAGATTTTTTTTTTTAAGCATTAGTGGCAGCAGGATGAGATCCTGCAGTTGAGCCGTTGGAATTAGTTTAGGTTACTGCTAACAGGCAGGAATCAAAAGATAAGTAAAATGCATGTATCCTGGTTTGACAGAAACACAGAAGACCACATGGCCTGTTTCTGTCTTCTAGAAAACTGATCATATTGATACGAATATGTCTCTGACAATTCTGTCCACAACTTTAATAAATACAACTCCAAACAATGAAGAAACATCTGAGTGATTCTCTTTTGACAACAGCATTTTTGATGAGTGTTTTACACATCAGCTTTGCTTTCTCCTTTTCCAATTTCTAGGCAGTAGTAATGTAGGGGACACACTCCCCACTGGGCAGCTGTCCAATATCCCATGGCGCCGGGCAGGAGTAAAGTATACAAACAATGAAGCCTATTTTGATGTCGTTGAAGAAATAGATGCAATTATAGATAAATCAGGTAATTGTGTGCATGTAGTCTTATGGGGAAAAAACAATTAAGCAGATACAAGCTGAATAGAAAATTGAAATCCCTTGGCAGTGTGATTTTTACAGAAAGGCATTCATCTTCTAATGGGTTTATAAATCTGTTCATTTTGCTTGGGGGTTAAATATAATTATTGTAACCACAACTGAGATCTGCAAGACATTTGTTAATTAGGACTCGTGATGTCTTTAAGCCATTCATTTCCCTCTATACCTCTCCCTCTTACTGTTTTATGTATTCTAACATTGCATGGCAACTATATAACTTACCTTTGATACTAATTTATGTACAGTACTTACATTTATTTTTTTATTTATCTATCTGGTACCGGGAATTGAACTCGGGTCCTTGCTTTTATGAGGCATGTGGCGGAACCACTGAGCTAAATCCCCGGCCCTATGTACAGTACTTTTAGTGAAGACTCCTTCCTGATTATCTTTTAAGCAGACAAAATCATAATACTGTATTACAACCCTAAGGAATTGGGATTGTAACTCAGTGGTAGGGCATCTGCCTAGTACATGAAAGGCCCTGGGTTCAATCCATAGTACTGTAAACCTCATATTTTGTAGAGAAGGAAACAGGCTCACAAGGATTCAGTGACTTGTTCATGCAACTAATTGATAATGTGATGGTGACTTGCTGTGAACAATAGTGAGTATCCTTTCTTTTACAACATTCAAAAAATTTGAAACAGAAAGATCCACTGCAAATACTATAGGTTTTGAGCTGGGCATGTGGCTCAGTGGCAGGTTCCTTGTCTTGCATGCTTGATACCCTGAGTTTGATCCTTAGCACCATTACAAAAACAAATTTGTTTAATTATAACCTTCTAGCTGGTCATAGTGACACACACCTGTAATCCCATCAATTGGGAGACTGAGGCAGGAGGATTGCCCCAAGTTCAAGGCCAGCCTGGGCTACATAGTGAGTTTAAGGCCAGTCTGAGCTATATAGCAAGATCCTGTATCAAGAACCAAAATTAAAACAAATGAATAAATCAATTATAATCTCATGGAATGATAGATCATGGCTTCTATTTAAGAATTAACAAATAGTTTAATCCATTTCATAAGAAAGCTGCATTTTAAAATTCTATTATAAATACATTAAACTCACACCTAGTAGTCTTACAAGGTTGATCCTATAGGTTTGATTTTCCTTAAAAATAGCATATTCTAGCTAAAGGCAGAGTCAAAGATTTCAAGTTCAATCCCAGGCTTTTGAGGGTTTTTGTTTTGTTTGGGTACCAGGGATCAAGCTCAGCACCTTGCACCTTCAAGACAGGTATGGTGCCACTGAGCTAAATCCCCAGCCCTCAAACCCAGTTTTATTTTGAGATCCTGTCTCAAAATAAAAAGGGTTGGGCCGGGGATTTAGCTCAGGGGTTCCGTCGCCTGCCTTGCAAGCATAAGGACCCAAGTTCAATCCCCAGTACCAAAAAAAATAAAATAAAAAGGACTAAAGGTGCAGCTCAGTGCAAAAGACCTTGGTTCAATTTCCACTACCAAAAACAAGTGCACACACACATGCTCATTTCAGCCACTTAGGTACAGGCATTAGCACTCAGTGAGAAAGCTATCTAAACGGATATAATAGAACCTCTGTTCACTAACCTGTTCATGGAGTTGCAAACCTTCGGTTAAGTCTAAAATTATTTCCATTAGTGCAGATGCAGAGACCTAGATTCCACTGAAGATGTCACCCCTTTTCTTTCTTTTTTCAGGATCTACAGTCTTTGCAGAAATTCAGGGGGTCATTGATGCTTGTATTAAGCTATCTGGAATGCCTGATCTCTCTCTTTCTTTCATGGTAAGTTTTATTCTCCTTTTGTATCATCTCTTAAGTGCTGAATATGTATGACATACTAAAGGATAAAAACGATACTGAGCTTTTCTTCCTATTTCATATTATCTATTCTACATTTTGATCCTGACTTACACTTTCAGTTTCTCATACCAGAGAATCTATTCAGTATTTATACACGTATGTCCTGTTTATTTCACTTGAGTATGGCCTCAATGTGCATCCATTTAGCTATAAATGTTTCTAGTTTCTCTTTCATTATGGCTGAGTAGTAGTCCGTTTTATATTTTAAAAAACACACACATTTTCTTCATCCAGTCTCCAGTTGATGGGCAAAAGGGGAAGTGGGAGTACAGAAAAGAAAGAAGGGAAAAGAATAAATATGAGAAAAATAAAAAATGGAAACAAAGTCTTTATAAATAGGGAGGGATGGAGGGGTTGAAGGGAGGGCAGGGGGATGGGGAAAATAAAGCAGGATATATCCTGTAAAGGTACAAATTCCCAATGGTCGGTGTCATCATATTGTATACCTAAAATGTACCAATAAAATTAATGAATTAAAAAAATGAGGGCTGGGGATTTAGCTCAGTGACACTGTCTGTGTCACAAGCACAAGGTCCTGAGAATTGAACAGTACCAAAAAAACCAATCAAACAAAAAAAAAAACTGATAATAAGGTAAGTTTGTATCTTAGATTGCAGAAATATTCTTAGCATCCCTTTACAAGATGATAGTTAATGTGTTTAACATAAACTTTTTGGAAAGGCTAAAGAGGGGTCTTTTAATTTTGCTAGAAGAGCTTATAATTGACTCGTTGGCTGGCTTTTCCAAATCTCCAGTGTCATTTTTACTGCAAAGGTATTAGACTTTTGTGTTGTTGTAGACTCAGCATGCCACACTACTAAGAATAATTAAAAGAGTTCTGGTGCTGTCTCTTGTCGCCAGTTTCTCCTGACTTTAGGTTCTTTAAACCTGTTTTGTCACCTGTGGAATGGAAATGCTACTATTTGGCTTTTCTCCTTCATAGTTATGAAATTTCAAATAAAATGATGTATATAAAATATTCACAAAACTGTAAAGCATACTGAAACTATAATGAACTCTTACACAGCTGACTGCTTTTGCTCTAAGGACTGTATTAATTTCTCATATCTGAGTAATATGGTCATACTCATTCTACTCTGAAAAATAGCTGTCTTCTGTTTTGCTGGCAGAACCCAAGGCTTCTGGATGATGTCAGCTTCCACCCCTGTATCCGGTTCAAGCGTTGGGAATCTGAAAGAGTTTTGTCATTTATTCCTCCAGATGGAAATTTCCGACTCATTTCATACCGAGTCAGCTCACAAAAGTATGTTGAAACATCTGCTAGAACCTGTCATCACTTATCAATGTGCTGAATAGAATTCACCTTGCTCTTTTGCATTCTGACAGTTTGGTACTTGAGTTCATCGTTGCTTAGTTTAACTGTGGCTCAGAAGACCAAGTGAGATATGGAAAAAATATGTGCCTGAATAATCAGTGTAGCTTGAATCTATGAGAAGTAAATTAGATGATAATGCAATCTGTCACCTGGAACAAGCATTATAACCTGGGTAAAACTGCATTAGCACCATAATTTTACCATGATGCCGACTTTGTGCCTAACAAAATGAGACAGAATTACCCCAGGATACTCTCATCCACTCCTTCACGGTCCTCTGCATTGAGTTTTAAAAGAATAACATTGCATTGTAGGTCGTAGCTAATTTGTCCCTTGAAAGTATCGGAAAGTACAGTGGTAGAGTACTTGCCTAGCATGTACTTGCGCAGCATGTGCTTACCAAACACAACCAACAAAAAAAAAAAAAAAAAAAAAAAAAAAAATATTTGGGTAGCATAATAAAACAAGATGCAGCTACAGGCATAGCACACACCTATAATCCAGGCACTCTGGGAGTCTACTGCAGGAGGATCACAAGCTCGGGCCCACCTGGACAATTAATGAGACCCTGTCTCAAAATAACAAAAGGTGCTGGGGATGTAGCTCAGTGTGAAGACGCTAGATTCATTGTCCAGTATTAAAAAATCAAAAGAAATTTCTTGGCTCTTACACTTTTTGTTTTTTTAAGGCAGGGTCTCACTATGTTATCCAGGCTGGCCTTGAATTCACAATTTAGTCCCGGCTGGCCTCAAACTCACACTGATCCTCCTGCCTCGTCTCCCAAGTGCTGGGATTATAGGCATGTGTCACCATACCTGGCTTCATAGGAACTATTTTAGTATATATAGTTTTAAAATTAGTTTTCAGTGAGATCTTATTCATTTTTTAAACTAAAGCCATTTTCCCCAGTCGTTTATACCACAATTAATCTTAAAGGTTTGTATCCTTGCTGCTAAGGATTCATATAGTCCCTAGCATATTGTTACAGAACCTTGTGCTGTACCCCTAACATTCTACCAGGTGCAGATGCTGAGTCTGCAGTTCTAAGACCAAAACGCCCTGCTGTGGAGTTGGAGCCAGGGTCAGATAAACTGGGCTGAGCTTTTGAGGCCACCTCTGGAGCTGTCCTACAGCAATTAATTGTGTGTCTGTGTGCTTTTTTGTCTTTCTGTCTTTTTAGTCTAGTGGCAATACCAGTGTATGTGAAACACAATATCAGCTTTAAGGAGAACAGTTCTTGTGGAAGATTTGATATAACAATTGGACCAAAGCAGAATATGGGAAAAACTATTGAAGGAATTACAGTGACAGTTCACATGCCAAAAGTTGTGCTGAATATGAACCTGACACCAACACAAGGCAGCTATACATTTGATCCAGTCACCAAGGTACAGCCACTTCAAATCAAGAGTGAGCAGGTGTTTCTGTTTTGTGACTGGGGTTAGGGGTAGGATTTGGTGTCCTGTTTAAAAGTAAAGTTCCAATCAACCCTACTAGAGAGTACACTGTCCTTTCACCACCAGCTTTGGAAAGAATTCTGTATCTACTACTAAGTAGATAAACAAGAGAGACACATTCTGTCCTCTTGCACAGTGCGCAGTACTCATCCATTGATCATCTAGAGGCTTATTGCACTAATGAAAACAGAAGTAAAATCTTTTTAAAGAGAAAAAAATATTATGTGAATATAATAGGATAGTGTGTTGATTGTTGTTTTCCTGTAGACATTAATCTTTAAGACTTGGTTTTTTTGTTTGTCTGGGGGTTTTTTTGTTTTGTTCTTTGAGACAGGGTCTCACTATGTAGCTGAGACTGACCTGGAACTCACTGTGTAGCCCAGGCTGATCTCGAACTCACAGTGATCCTCCTGCTTCAGCCTCCCGAGTGCTGGGATTACAGGTGTGCGCCACCACACCCGGCAAGACTTCTTTATTTTTAACTTTAAAAAGCATTATTTCATATTCTTCCGCAGGGGATATTAGCTAGGAAAGCTGCTTCCACATGTCTCTGGCAGAGTTTTCATAGAACTCTAAAAGATGATTTTCTCTCAGCTTCTTGCCTGAATAGAAAATATGATTGTTTTCAACAGCAGAGTCATTGAGCATCCTCATAAATAAAAACGCATATTTTTAAAGCCATAGAATGCTAAAGATCATCTAACCTGGTTCCTAAGGATTCAGAGACCACATAAGACTGAGCAGGGGAAGGGCCAGGGATTTAACTCAGTGGTGCTACCACCTGCCTTATAAGTGGAGGGTCCTGAGTTCAATCCCCCATACCAAAAATACTGAGCAGGGGGAGTTTCAGATCCATGGGACCTCTATACTAGCATCAGTTATAATAGCTTCACTTTCCTCATCTATTGAGCATCCACACAAAAAAAAATTTCCTTTTGAACAAAGGATTCCATAGCTAAAAGTTTTAAAATACCAACACAAAAGCTTGCTGGAACACACCTGTAATGCCAGGACTTGGGAGCCAAGCAGTAAGTTCGTGGCCAGCCTGGACTACACAGTGAGACCAAAAAAAAAAAAGCCAAGTACAGTGGCATACACTTCTTATCATGGCATTCTCAGAGGCTAAGACAGAAGTATTGCAAAATCTAGCACGGCCTGGTCAACTTAGCAATTCAGTGAGACTGTATCAAAAAGTAAAGAGAGCTGTCTGTAGATGGAGCTCAATGAGGTGTGTTGGGTATGGAACCATATTCCCATTTTGCTGAAAATAGGCGTACAGAGAAGTCGTAAAGGTAGGATAATGGAAAGAGTATTTTCAATTTGCAGTCATACAGCCTTAGATTCAAATCCTAACCTTTCCTTTAACTAGCTGTGTGACCTTGAGCAAGTCACGTGATCTCTAGCCTTAATCTCCTCATGTGTAAATGGAAGACAAAATCTGCTTCACAGGCTTATGAGATAACATGAATGTGGCTAAGCTTAGTGCTATATTTAGAGTCATGGGGCTAATTAATGGTAAAATCCTCACAGATACCAGATCTCATTTGCAAGACACTGCTTCATTTTGTATGGAAGCCTATCGTCTTTGAACCCTACCTTTGAACATTTGTCTTTAACAGATGGTTCAGATTGGTTTTAATTTCATGTTTCTTAAAGGTACTAACATGGGATGTGGGGAAAATTACTCCACAAAAGCTCCCAAGTCTTAAAGGACTGGTAAATTTACAGTCTGGAGCACCCAAACCAGAAGAGAATCCAAGCCTCAACATACAGTTCAAGATCCAGCAGCTTGCTATTTCAGGTAAGGATAAGTTTGGCTTGTGTGTAAGGGTAAATGAGTTTTGCTAGGCTCAATTATTAGAAAAAGAGTAACAGCCATTTCTGCTCAAGAAAGAGCAGCAGATCCAGTTCACCTTTTATACAGTTCCATGGGGCCAGGGGACTTTGAGGGAACCTTATTTCACACAGCATCCCTTCCTCTTCGCCCTCGTTTAAACACCAAAAAGAAGTTTTTCCTGTTCACTGAAAGTAGAATTAGCCTTAACAAACATGTTCTGCCCACATGGGTATCTTAAGTAAAATCACACCCAACAGTGTAATAATTCAGGAATGGCAGAAGGGACGCTGGGCTAGTGTCAGATTTACAACAGATAGTTGTATTACCATTGGGATAATAATTTGTTTCATTCTTTTTTGACATAGGCTTGAAAGTAAACCGTTTGGACATGTATGGGGAGAAATACAAGCCATTTAAAGGAGTCAAATATGTCACAAAAGCTGGAAAGTTCCAAGTGAGGACATGAGAAGAGGCCAGAATTCCTCAAGATTAGTTTGTTTTCCAAGTGTCATTACAGTTTATTATTATTAGGTACCAAGTGGGTGGGAATACATATTCTCCTTAAAGCATTGGTGTCTAGCTACACATCACTAACAGAGGTTGCTTAGTAATCGATGTAGGATTAAGGAACTTTAAGCTAAGGAAACTTTTCTAATGACTTAGCTTATTTTGTATCTTTTCACTTAGGAAGATTTTAGAGGTGATTTCTTTCAAAGGGGAGGTACCAGCTGGATGCTGCACACTGTAAAGGCAGAAGGCTACAATGGTACCTCTCTCCTAAAGCAAGTGAACTGGACTCATCCAGTGGGAACAGTCTTAATCTGTGATGTGTCAGGTGCAGCCAGATGTCATACATTCTGATCTTAGCCATCCCAAACAGTATCTGTCCAAACAGGAAATACCCCCCACCCCAAGAAGTTTACAGAAAACTGCCTCTTCGAGTGTTTGCCTTATTCAGCTTTTCACTTGTGCCATTAAGCAAACATTGTAGCAAAAGTCATTTCCATACGGTCCTGTCAGGGAGCACTGCTGCTCCATGCTCCATTCTGTTCTTGGTATTGTATTTTTTATAAATAAGATTTTTATGTAAAAGCTAGATTTTGATTTACAAGTAATTTGCTGCAGTAAATACCATCTCAAGTTCATGCCACCAGTTCAGCTGTTAGCGCAGTAAAAATCATTTGTATCAAAGAGGCAAATGCTTTATAAAGGTAATAAAAGGGAACACAGCTTCTGCTTTTAGGAAGTTATTGCAAGCACAAGTCTTGTGCTTTTAAGAAAATTAAAGTAGTAAGAGAAACCTTCGCCATCTTCATGTTTTATGCTTTATCCAGCATCACCAGTTAGCCTAAATGCCTCGTGCCCTGGTTCAGAAAAAGGGAGGAAATTGTATATGCCTATCATCAGTCCTTCCTTTTTAAAACTTTTCTTTTTTGTTATTGTTCTTAAAGATTGAATTTGCCTGCATCTCTTTTCTTTTGGAGGCACTGTTTCATATTGTGTGTGTGCATATCAAAGCTTTATGCACAATAGATTTCTTTCTGAAACTTGTCAAAACTGTAATTGCAGTACTTAGATGTCTCCACCATACTGACAAGGTACACAGAAAAACATTAGGTTGAGGCAGAAACAGAATTCACAGTAACATTTATGATACCATATTGATCATGGTTATAAAGTCAAACTGTAATAGAATCACTTCACTCAGTTCATTGGCTTGGTAGTCCTTACCCAGATATGTTGCCTCATTAGGCCTAAAGAAATGGGGGAAGGCTGAAGGTTACAATTTAGGTGCTTATGGTTCCTATTTCTTCTTGTTCCTAAGCTGTTTTCTTCTAATTGTGGATCCATTCTTTCTTCTCTTATTCTTCTCAGCTTATGACTTTTTTTCTCCTTACCATACTAAAGGTTCCTCTTATGGTCATCCCAGTTACTAGTGGTGAGTGCATCCATTTTGGGGTAGCATTTTTACCTTTGTTTGCCTTGACTATTCAATCAGCTTTTCATCTGGTAAAAGCAGTTACTTTGCCTGGCTTAGTGGTACATGAGTATAAGCCCAAGACTTAGGAGGCTGAGTCAGGAAGATTGCCAAATTTGAGGCCATCCTGTCTTATAAGAACAAACAAAACAGAAGGCTACTTTTGCAATTTATTGATTTCTACAGTAACCTCAAATTGGTAAAGTTAAAATGTTGCCAAATATTTATTCCCTTTAGCTGAGATTGGTTATCCAGTTCAATTGCATGTCCTATTTTTAGTATCTTAGTCATTAGAGTTCTTGCCTCAAAACATTTGCTTTTCAGTTGGGCATGATAGCAAACGCCTGTAATCCCATCACTTGGGAGGTTGAGGTAGGAGGTTCGAACTGCAAGTTCAAGGCCAGCCTATGCCACATAGTGAGTTCAAGGCCAGCCTAAATTACATCGTGAGACCGTCTCCAAAAAAATTGCTTTTCTTTCTGTATAATCTCTAATCTCAGCCATCTGTAACTGCACTCTCCAATTTTCTTCCTGTGCTACCTTTTCTTATATCCAAGTAGAATCTATGTCAAGAGCCATTCTAGCAATTTCTGCTAAAAAATCCGTAGGCTGTTTCCTTTGACAATTAAATTATTATATTTATTAATTTGATAGAATCTAATAAACCTCTCTCTGGCTTTGACTATACTGTCAATAAAAAAGATGAAAGCAACAGTTGACTTTTTTTTTAGCTTAACTGTTGATGGGAACATTTCTCATGTGGGCAAGGCTTTATTAATATCAGAGAAAGCCAAACAAGATCAGTGTTTTCTGTATTGTCACACAAGGTGTGAATGTTGTTGCAAAGCACTTCCAAGTGCTTCTCTCCTACATGTCATGCATTTACCTCCATTTATACTTTTAAGCATCATCCATCTGGCCACAGAATAAGAGATTAAGTGATGAAAGCTACCTTCCTTAACCACTACCAGGATACCTCTGTGTATACTCAGAAGTATTAAAGTATTTTTCAAGCACTGAGTTCCAGCTAATCCCAGAATAGTCTTTTGTTCTAAATTCTTAAGGGAATATATTCTAAGAATAAATAAAGTAGATGCTTTATTTTCCCTGTGAAGAAATCCCCATTTTATTCAAAAGGCATTAATGTGATATGTTTTCTTCTAATGGTGCTACAGAAGAATGCTTAGAATACTGTCCTTCAAGGCAACTGATTTGTCAAAATAACAACTATAATGCAGGAGGAAGGCAGCACCAGTAAACATACAGAAGTAACAAAACTGAGGCAGTGTTAGAGATTGCTCAGCTAATTCAGCAACCTTGAACATTTCTCTTGAATCCAGGCAAGCTGGAATCTGCTTCCATTCCATTGTTGGAAACTTTTCTAGGTTAAAGCAGTCAGCGATAAATGCAGTCAGCAACATGATCTACCACCCTTTAATGATATTTAATTCTTTCAGATCTTGAAGGTCAGACAAAGATAGTTGAAGTCCTAGCTGTATCCAAGACTACTCCATCCAGATCTGTCTTGCTCCTATTTTAGAGCTCCCTCAAGCAAGAGTATGGTCCCCAGAAGCTAGCTATCTGCCTCAAGTCTTGGTGGATCCCAGACAGCCTATTATTCTCTACTAGGTTTTGCAATATTAAACAAAACAAAAAACAAAAAACGGACGTGTTCTAATCCTGTGTATTTAACAACTTCAGCTTTTTAGGGGACAGTGATAGTCACCACTAATAGAATCTTCTGATAAAAGACTTTGATCCACATGTCATCTGGCTGCTTTCTCTGCTGTCACACTTTGCCACTTCCACTCCTTCTAGTGTATAATCCCCAAAGTTGTCCTTTATCACACAGATTCTTGTTAGGTAAACATACTTTACATACTGCTGATTTCTACTTCTTCAAAAACCCTGATATATGAGTTTGTTTCTGAAATAATATACTCATCATTTAGAAAATTATTTAAACAAATGCATTTTATTTTTTAAAACAACAAAAGAGGCAGAAAATATTTGCATATAACAAATCCTAGCTTATAAATGTTTTTAGTGGCAAAATCTTGAATTATTCAGGGTTTTTTTAAATTTTTACTTTAATTTTTGCTTCACTGTGTCTTGAACATTGATATTAGAGAAAAGTACATCTGGCATAAAGTGTAAACCAGTGTCTCAAAACACTGGAAGAACTTGGAAAGTAAAAATGATTCTATTTCCTCTAAGTAATCTTTAGTAAAACAAAAATTGATCTTTGGCATAGATTCATACTTTAAAGGCATTCATATTGCATTTATAGCAGGTAAGCAGCTATACAAATATACTAAGGAGGGGGCCTTAAAAATAATCTTTCATCAGTTAAAAGGAAGTACAAGAAGCCTGAGTGTACAGGACCAACTTAAGTCGGGTTTTATACATTTGATGTAGGAATCTAACACACAATGGAGGTGAGGAGGAAGGACATTCAGACAAGGGGGTCTTACTCCTTTCCTTATCTAGTTCTGGGTTTATGAAGAAATGTAGTTTTATAAATTGGGGAATGCTTAAACAGTGATAAGTGCAAAAATAGAAAAAGTTGCCTTCTCTCACCGTGCTTAACTTTCTGTAGTGATAGTTAAATATTTATTACTGTCTCAATTATGTTTAGGAGAGGATACAAGGAGCCTACTTGGTTGAAAGTCGACAGGAATTACAGAGAGGAGTATTCCCCATCCATTTATCCCCAGCAGCACCCAAATTTCATCTGCAAATACCACTCTCCCATAAATAGAAAGTATCCTTCAGACAGTGCAACCTTTCCATTAAATACTCTTAGGTGGAAAGCACTAGTTCTTAGGACTCAATTTCAAAATGATGAGATGAAAAGGATCTCTCACAATTGCAGATGAAGCCAGGCACAGTGGTGCAGACCTGTAGTCCTAGCTCCTTGGGAAGCTGAGGTACAATGATATCATTTGAGCTAGGAGGTCAAGACCAGTCTGGGGAACAGATGAGACCCCATCTCAAAACAAAAACTTACAGGTGAACACGCACCTATGTATCTTTAAAATCTTGTTTAGGAAAGGTGTAGGAGAAGACTACAAAAGCCAGGAGACATGATTTGGTTAAAAATTAAATGCAGCATTTCAGCTCAGAAAGAACAATTAAGAGCTAAGAATGAATGATAAGGCCTCCACACAGATCTCTGCAGACAGTGACAAAGCATGGACTGCTTGGGCATGGCCTCCTGGGAGGGCAGGCAGGGCCACACCGGGGCTACTCTGCCCCTCTGGTGGAGACAGCACCAGGACACAGTGTTTGTGGGACGGTTACCTTAGCAGGCTGAGGCAGGAGGCAGGACACAGGACAGGAAGGTGCCCTAGCAGACACTGCTCAGTGTCGTCATAAAGATAGAATCATGTGATTCTGTGAATTCTTCCTGACAGTGAAATCTGGTTTTGTACTGCTGGAAACGAGGATTAAATTGGGAAGGGGAAGAAATAGGATGGGGCTTCCCTAAAGGCGACCTTTTTCTGCAGCAGCAAAGCTTGCTTCTGCAAAGGGTCAGGTAGCACAACAGCCCAGGGAAGGCAGGCAGGGTCAGCAGCAACATGAAAGCCCAAAACAGTTTGTAGAGGCACAGTGATTTTCTTCTTAACTGACTTGCTTGGGCCCTGGGTCTTGGGAGCCTGAAGAGGAGTGTGGGGGCCGGTGAAAGGGAAGCAGAGAGCAGTGTCCCCTAGGGGACAGGGGCACAGCAAGGAGTCTCGCTAGTGTTCACGCTTGGATTCTGAGCTTATGTGAAGTCCTTGGCTAGAGACCCAGTCCTCCTACTGGGATAGAGTGTGCATGAGTATAACTGTTTGAGAATACAGGATTTATATGGAGATACATTTCAAAGTGTCCACGACAAAAGAATATAAACGTTTTGAAGAGGCCCCCATTCCTTCCTAATTCATGAAGCCAAGAAGTAGCTTTCAGATCCCAACAATTCTGGGTGGCTCCTGGAACTCAGATTGCTCTCTTTCTCTTCAATAGGGGTTTCTGCACCAGCAGGAGGTACGCTAGGTGCCTACTGGTACCAGGGAGTCTTTCTGACCCAGCGCAGTGTAAATCCAGCATCTGTTCGGATTTTGATTGAAGCAGCTTCTGCCTCTCGCACAGTTTCCTTCACAGACTGCATGAGGTTCTGGGCATTATGAACCAGCATCTCTGTGGCCTGTAGTAAAAAAGAAATCCCAGTTATTACAGTACCTGAGGCAGTCCTGTCTCCAAAGCGGCGCTGAGCCAGGAGCAGACTGCAGTTAACCCCACTTTCATCTGGCAGCTTCCATGCTTGCTCACATTTCTGGTGGTTTAGCTGTAAGACCTAAAAAGGACCCAAAACTACAGCATCGCTGACTGTACTATGCCCTTTGTGTATATTCTTTCCTGATATTCAAATGTGTTCCTCCCAAAGGATTTTTGCTGTTTATTCCCTCTGACTATTTTGCAATTTATTCCCCCCTGATATTTTCCCCTAGGGATCCTATGGCTTCCCCCTGTGTCCTTCAGATCTTTGTTTCACTGTCACCTTTGAGAGGCTTTCCCTTTTCATTTTATTGGGGTTGCTTGTTTTTAGGGTTTTTTTTTTTGTTTGTTTGTTTTTTAGTTTTTTGAGACAAGGTCTCGCTATTATTTCAGGCTGGCCTCGAACTAATGTAGCCCAAGCTCACCTCAAATTTGCAATGATCCTCCTGACTCATCCCCCCCCAGTGCTGGGATTACAGACGTGCACCTCCGTGTCCAGCCCTTTTCATACTATTACAAATCAGAAACTACATTTCCAACCTTCAGCATTACTCATCTCCAGTTCTTCCTTCATTTTTCTCCATAGACTTCATCATCGCTAATTGTTTTTTGGTTTTGGTTTTTGGGGACAGGACCTCACTGTGTAGCCCAAGCCAGCCTTGAAATGATGACAGTCTTCTTCGTGAGTGCTGGGATTATAGGTGTGCACCACCATGCCTAGCAGCACATCATCACTAATTGATGTAATAATGTTTTACTTAGATTGCTGGGGGGGTGGTGTTCATTTATCTTCATACTATAAGGGCAGAAATTTTTATCAGTTTTGTCCACTGTTGTTTCAGTGTTTAGGACAGTGCCTGGCACAAAGGAGACATTTTATAAATATTAATGAGAAAAATTCAAACCTACAGAGCAACCTACCACCTTATAAATCTACTACCTTATAAACTATCCAAGTTAATCTTTCAAACACACAAAGTTAAAGGACTAGAATCTTGTTAGTATTCTACTCATAGGAATTCTTAGCATTAATGATTGTTTGATCCATTAATTTTTTTTGGTTGAGGGTTTTTTCTTGTTTTGTTTTTTGAGACAAGGTCTCACATTTGTTATTCAGGCTGGCCTTAAACTCAAGGTAATCCTCCTGCCTCAGCCTCCTGAGTGCTGGGATTACAGGCGTGCACCAACCATACCCAGGCTGCCCAATAATTCTTAAGTTATCTTTGAGACATAGATCCTTTGAGGACTTAATGAAGGCTGTAGATTCTCTCCAAAAAATTGTTCACAGGCATAAAATTTGTATATGAAATTTCAGAGAGTTAACAGGTTCTGAGAGAAAATAACTGGGCTAGAATTCCTGATCAGTTCATCTTTTCAGTTGTCAACAAAGGGACTGAGGCTTAGAGAGGTATGGAGACTTGTCAGCCAAGATCACACAACAAAATCAGGATTTGAGACTCACGACTAAAGCCAGGCATGGTGCATACATCTATAATATTAGCACTCAACAGGTTTGAGGCAGGAGGATCACAAGTTTGAGGCCAGTCTGTGCTACAGAACAAGTTCAAGCCCACTTGGACTACATAGCAAGACCCTCTCTTAAAAAGCAATCCTCTGTTTGCTCCATTCTTTCACACTGTCATTTTCTATCTTTATTTAATGGAACACAGGCTATATTACCAGGCTGTATTTTTGTTGGTTAACTATGTGATTCAACCTGAGCCTCTGAGTCTCATCCTTTCTTCCCCATTTTCCCCAACTTTAGATGAAGAGACTGCATGTCCAGTCTAGTGCCCAAACTCTACTTAAAATACATGGAAGTTGGGGATAACAGTTCCCGTGGCTTGGAGAAGAGGAGATCAGGTGGGAACTACAATGAGGTATCAACAACAACCTCCTGGTTTCCTCCACATTGCCCCTAACCTTTGTCTCCTGGTTTATAGATCAAAACTAATTTGTCTCCCAGTTATCTCTGAGTTCCTCAAGGGGAAAGATTGTGCCCCTTATTTTCTTAACTTGTGTAGGTCCTGACACAGTGCCTCACACCTATTCCCTAAGTCTTGTCTGGACACTCAACAAAGATGAACGTTTTACCAGGAGAAGGCCTACCACAAAGAGGATAAGGAAAGGACGGAGTGGTCATGAGGGTTTTCTGAAAAACCTGGGCCACAATTCCAGGAGGGAAAGAAAGAACACAAACTCTTAAGAAGTGGTTGCTAAAGTACATGCAAGAGACATCACATAAGAGAATCCTCCACCACCTTTTATTTCTATCTTGGTCAGAAACCCAAAGAAAATCAGAAGCACCTCCTGCTAGGGATTTAGCTCAGTGGTGGCAACGCCTGCCTCGCAAGCGCAAGGTCACGAGTTCGATCTCTGGTACCAAAAAAATAAAAAAAAGAGAGAGAAGCACCCCTCCTGAGCTGCCATTTCAGTCTTAGCACAGCCTTCACCACCTTTTGTCCCTGAATTTCCTGCCACTACTTGTCCCCTTGAGGCTGAAAATCACCCAGAGCCAGGACGTCGGCTTTCTTTGCAACCAGAAAGACAGCAGGTGGGAATGAACAGGCACTGGAGGGTCAAGACAGTCATACCTATTCCAGGGAGGAAGAGAATTGAGCAGATTCGACTGCCACACTTACATCAGGTGCTTAATCTCCCTACACCTTTGTGTCCACTCTGTAAAATGATGAAAATTGCCTAAGAGCTTCACTTCTGGTCCCAGGTTTCTGATGCATCTCTCCCACACAGACTCCTTCTACAGCACAACTCTTGAGTCCATCCAACATATTGAACACTTGATCCAGAGGTAATACATCCCTAAGACTGAATTAAATTAAACAGCACAGAAAACTGCTGGCGAGAACTCCAAAGCAGCAGGCACATACCTGCTCAGACTCCTCGTCACTGATGTTGGTCCGGCCCAGCATGGTGGCCTTCACTGTGGACAGGATTTTCAGTTGGGTGCTGATAGTTGGGATTCGCTCACACACCTGAAGAGCAAGTTTATGTTAGTGCATGTCCATACCTATAGGCTCCTTGAGGGCAGGATATCCACCTGGTATTGGTATCACCAGAGCTAGCAAACAGAGCACTCATTCATCAGCAGCACAAATGTGCTCATTTATCCCCCGGGTCAATTCAGTCCCTCTGTCCAGAAATGGAAGCATTCAGATTCTTCCATGTGATTACAATATAAACTGAGTCCCCTTTTTGCTGTTTTCTCTCCCAAATATCTATTCCTCCCCTACGTACCCAGTTGTTTCTCTGCTGCTTTTCTTTCTCAAATCCTTCCGCTCAATCTCTTCCATCCCCCTCGTTCCCCTCCTTCCCTCTCTCTACACAGCCTTTCTCCAAGTACCATACCTGTAAGAGGTTGGTTCTAATCCGCTTATCTGTACACTGCTTGGCAACCTCCTTGGCCAATCGAGTCACCTCATCTGAGGCCTTGGCGATGTCCTTGGCACACTGGATGAGTGCCCGCTTGGTACCACTGCCACCTCTCACCAGCCGAGACATTTCAGCCATCAGCAGAGCCATGCGCTTGGCTGCTGCAATGATGTCATTGCCCTGGAGAGAAGCAAAGAGATGGTGTGAGCTGTGCCCACGCTCTGGCCAAGTTAAGGGAGGATGCAGAAAAATAGAAGAGAGAAGCCTGCTGCTCTAGCAGCCCTCTGAAAGGGTGAGAAAAAGATTGAAGGATTGTTCTTTAGGGATAGCAATGGAAAAATAAAAAGAATGAGGCAGGGCATTCACCCCAGCACTCACAGAGACAGAGACAGAGGATCTCCTGACTGAAAAAAAGGAAGACCTGGATATTAATCTGCAACAGTAGCATGTGCACTCTGAGCACAACACTGAACAAGCGCTTCAGCATCTCCAGGTTAATTGTGTCAATAAAAGGGCTGAGGAGTTGGTTAAACAGGCATTTTCATTTCTGTAAGAGGGGAGAAAGCAGTAGGGCTGACCACAAAGGAGACATTTCAGATGCTGAAATCTTCCTCTTTATCCTTAACCTTGTTGCAAATAGCAGCCAAGGACTCTCTAGGATTTAAAATCCCAAGAAACTATTCTTAGCCTGAGAAAAAGGGGGGAGAGACAGTTTCTGATCTAGATACCAGCCCTCCCTTTACTGCCTCTTGTTTGTCCTGTCAGCCTGAAAGAACATGTTATTTTAATTTTTCACGTGTAAAAAGGTCATGAATCAATTCTACAGTCCCCTCATCTAAGTGAGACTTCCCAGTTAAAGGAAACTTTAGCTAAGAGAATGCAGGGGGAGGAATGAGAAAAATAAAAATCACAAGTCAGGCTATAAACGGAACCTCCGCTCTAATGGTAGTTTATCTTAGATTGGCACTTGGTTCACCAAAACTCGCATGGGTCATAATACAGAAATACACAAACAAGTAACTTATTTTATGCCCATAGTACCCTAAAATGATAGCAACTGCAATGTTTAGGACTACCTAAAAGGCCAGGCCCCACTCATTTTTCCCCTCATGCTTTTCAGTTTCTATCCAGTGCAGTGAGGCGTACACAAGCCATCCACCACAGGGCGCTCTGTGAGGGAACTCCACAGGCACCATGAAGCAGCCGGTCGTTTATGCTGGAAGGTGTGTGATGTCAAAGGCAATGAATTGAGACTGGAGGGAACACAGGTATGGGAAGAAGCCTGAGGTGAGGGGTGTGTTAGGTGAAGCCCTCTTCCAGTGTAGACCTAGGATCATTCAGGATTTCATGACTTCGGTTAGAAGACAGCGTTCTGCAACAAGGTTAGTTACTACCCATCACTCTATTCTTGTAACATGCCACATTCAAAGGGGAAATAAGTGATCATTCCCGCACTCTTCTCCCCAAACTAACATTGGTTCAGCCCCCCAAGGCCAAAGCTCTGCTGCTGCCTACCCTGTGGCCTTAAGCACTGGGTTTCCCACTCCAACTGCCTCCCACAGAGACACCTGAACAAGCATTCAGTGAAGCCTCTTCCCTGTGGCCAGTACCTACCACACAGCCAAGTGCAGGGCAGCAAGCAGTCCTCCCTGGAGACTCCCACCTCGGAAGCTGTTTCTCACCTCATCAACTCTGCCTAAGCCATCAGTGAGAGGTCAGTGGAGGCCAAGCAAAGCTCAATGGTCAGGCCAGGGGACCTCTTAATAGTCTACCATGGCTCCTGACCTAGACGTCAGTGAGAGATGCATCCACAGCTTACCAAGGGGTTTAAAGTTCCAACAATGGCCACAATATTGGTAAGAAAAGGAATCCTTTCAGAAAAGGACCCCATTTCTCTTTATCCCTCAAACATAAATGCAACCCAATTAATCTAGCATTAGCAGACCTATCAAACTTGTGAAGCCAGTCCTAACAACAAGGTGCAGACAGACAGACACCCTCCCTGCTCAGACTCACAGGACCCGCACAGATCATGAGTGATGCAATGTGTCAAGGCTGCACATGGCCAGATGCATTTGGAGCATCCCCAACTGGGGGTGCTAATCAGTACCTTACTAGACCACTTGGTAGCTTCCCGATGCAAGGACTGAGCCGCGGCCAGAATGGGCTGGTTGACCGGCTGATTGGATGGCATTAACAGCAGCTCAGGTTCGTAATCGTCTTCCATGTCAGAGGGGACAGGGAACCCAACAGCATCGGCCGCATCTGCCTCAGCTACAACTCCTATACCCACCTCAGCCGCTGGGATACCCGGCTTTGTCGATGGCAGGAAGGATGAGAAACAGGGACAGTGTTAGTAGGAGCAGCCAGACTTGGGAAATGGAGCTTCAGTTGGTTTAGTAACCAAAGCTTCCCTGAGTGGGGAAAGAACATGGCGTACTCTCCAGGAGCCAGATGAACCAAGGTCCACAACAGGGATCTCAGACTCTAGCACCACTCGGCCCAAGCCACCCTGTGACAAATGAAAGGGACCTGCTCCACTAGCAAAGGGTTTCCAGGGAAATATATCAAGAAAACAAGTAGCATTCATATTTATACACTTAATTCCAAAATTAATCTCAAGTATAATTCTCATGTTAGAACGTTTTTGAGGAGTCAAACAAACAAATAATAGTTAATTACCTTTAAAGGAATCCAGAGGGGGAAAGTAAATGCAGCCACAGAAGTTGCTTTGAACAGAACAAGTGAATACCCAACAAGATCATACATTTGGGTCACTTTCACATTGTCCCAGGACATAGGAAGTGACAAGTCAGCTCTGTAGCTGCCAAACACAGATAATTTCCTTCAAGGATTAAAAAGTCCCAGACATAAAAATAGTATATGGAAGGCAACATATAGGAAACCAGGAAAGAGGCAGGAAAACAACACTGGTGTATAAAGAGGATTTACCAAGTAACCCAAAATCACACAGTCATAAGGAGCCTCAAGAAGACACCTTGTCAGGGCCAGGGATTTAGCTCAGTGGTTCCGCCACCTGCTTTGCAAGCGCAAGGTCCCAAATTTGATCCCTGGTACCA